CAAGTATATGCTAATAAGAGCAGATCTTACTATAAAATACAGACACGTCAACTACAAATTCACATTTATAACAAGTGGAAAAGCAGAAATGTAAGATAATCTGATCAGATTTATTATGTGGATACGGTAAAGGACATTTGGACACAGTGCATGTGTATCTTAGGAAGCCATTTTTGAAAGCCCTCATGATCATCTCACGTGAGGGTAGGGGGATGTATGGAGAGGAATCTTGTATTATTTTCCTCTGTACTTTTTCTAATCTTGTTTCTTCTCTTGTGGTTACATTAAACCAAATACGACTGTGTACTTCCAGGTTAAATGATACATCAGGCAGAAGCTCAAGATAGTCTGTTTGTTCAGATTTAATATAACCAGTGTTTTCCGTCTGCATGAGAGCTGCCTCGGAAGGCTTTCACTGAGTAGTGTAGCCTTCAGTTTATCTAGCTGTGCTTTCTAAAGCACCGAGCTAATGACACGGGTCTCCATCTAGAACTGTTGGAGCCACCTGCCTGCCATCAGCTCACCGCAGTGCCTCTACCCTTCTGCACTCGGGGCTACCTGAGCACGCTTCTCCCCAGGAGTTGTCATCTGACTCCTGTTTGTCACTATGTCTCACGTCTCTAAAGGCCCTTTCCCCCACTGTGTCATGGTCCACGCTTCTGTGGGCTCCCATGTGGTCACACAGACCCGGCATTCCCAGAGCACCTCGTACATACAAAGGGCGACTCTTCAGTCATGAACAAGAAGACAGACCTGATCCCAGCTTCATGGGCTGTAGAGTCAAGCCGGGAAGAAAGGCTTCAAGCAAAAATGAGAAATAAGTAACAAAATTATTAGAAGTGTGCAGAGCACATCAAGGGGGAAAAAAGGGGTCCAGACGTGTAGCGTAGCAGAACCTAACCTAGAGAGACAGTGAGGGAAGGCCTCCTTAGGTGGTCAGGCATACGCTGCCATCATGGTCCAGGCAAACACAAGGAGAAATGCAAACACGCTCAAAAAATTCTACGCAGAGAGGGCAATGTGCACAGAAACAGCGTGAGACAGGAGGTCACAGAATATGGCCTATTTTAGGAACAATGAGAAAGAGCTGTAGGAGACGAGGCTGGAGGGCGCATTGGACTGAAAGCACGCCAGGGCCTGCGGCAGCCATGGCGGAGGGTGGGGCGTAAGGGAGGCACCACACTGATGACCCCCCAGAAAGAACTTGCTGCTGGGCTTTGAGGACAGCTGGCTGTCATGACCCAGCTGCAGCCCCCGCAGGACTCCGCCCAGCAGGCCACCGAGGCCACACTCTTCCCTGGCTGCCTCTCTTCCATGGCTAAGCACAGTGGGAGTCTGGCCCTTTCTGCCCAGTGCAGCAGTCATCTAACAGGTCCTCTTACTTCAGGCCTCCCCACTGGACTGGCCAAGGCAAGATTTGCTTGGGAGATCATAAAACCTGATTACCCTCTTCCCCAGCTTAAGGCTCTCTCCGGATTTTGGTCTAGTTGAGTTTGAGACATGCTTATTTGTTTTGAGATTCAATGACTAAACAGTGTATTATAGGTACTATAAATTGGACACAACAAATGAGACACACATAATTGCATTCCCAGTTTTCAATAACTTCAGTGGAAGCTCTGGGGAAATTGAAACACAGTTGTGAAGATATATAATTTTTTGTCTAAGAAACCCAAAAAATCAGCAATGTCTGGATAAAGCAGATAACTCTCAAAGGGCTGTGCTCTGTTTTCATTAAACAAATATTTAATTATAGCAATTTATTGCTGGGAATAATGCAATACATGTGGTATAGTTCAAGCTACAACAGAGATGAGAAACGTTCACTCAATTAGTTTTGCTGCATTTGCACAATGAGCTACTTGCCAATTACGATAGTTAACAAGGCTTTTCTTCAAAGGGAGGAGGGGATATACTCCCTCAACTTCGTACGTATATGCTACAATAAATCTTTGATGAACTTTGGTGAGAGAGTGAGTTTTGTCACAGCTGCCTCTCCAGCACCTGTCCTGTCCTGCCACGTGTGTCTTAGCCATGTAGTCTGACTACACGAGCCACGTGGGGCTCCCGCGGCCTCCCCAGTCCAAGACAATCAGGATACTCTCATCCTCCTTTGCCAAAAGCAAGAGTGGCCTAAGAGAGACCTCAGGACTTCAGCTTGATGATGGTGACAAGTGGTGTTGCTTCCTCCATAATCCCCCTGGATGTAAGGGGCTCAGAAACTGCTACCGGCGGCTGTTGGGGATGAAGGGGCAGCCAGACTGAAGACAAAGCCCACCCACACAGCCAAGACCATCGAAGGAACAGATGTGAGAGCTGACTGCCCTGTGTCTGAAGCCTGCCTGGGATCACTGAGACCAGGAGGCAGTGCATCTCCTGGTACACGTCCTACCAAAAGCGTTCTACTGTACACGTGGGTTTTCTTAGTTTAAAGCTACACATTTGATCACACATCTCACCTTACCTTCTGGTCCCCGCTAACAAAATAGTCACTAACTGTCATTCAATGCCTCAGGCTTAATTTCGTTGTTCTTCACCAAACACAGACTTAAAAACATCTGCATACCATTTCAACAAGTACCAGAAAAATATTATAAAATACAATAGAATACAAACTTGTGTATTAGCGAGTGAAGGGGATTAAATACTCGTATGCTAGCTGAAAATCATTACTAACTACCTTAAAGAGCCCACAAATGAAAAGCAGCATACTCTTCTCTGATTTAAAAAAAAAAAAGTTGACAGTATCATATTTGTTTACATAAGAGTTTGCAATGATGACCCATAGGTCAAATCTAGGCTATATTTTTTTGGTTTTTCTTTTTTTTTTGCCCACACAATATTTAAACACACATATAAAAAGNGTGAATTCCCCCTTTGAAGGCGTCTCCAAAATGATCTAGGAAACAGCCTGCTAGCTCGTTCCGTGCCCAGAAATCTTTTTCTGCTCCTTGCTTCATCTAATGCGTAGCGTGCCAGCATTTGTTCCGGAGCCTGCATGTATAAGCAGTTACTTTAGTGCTTGACAAAGAGAACAGTGACGATGCTGGTCCTATACTAAAAGCAAGAGGTGATTTGTGCAGAGAAGAGCCGTATACAAACAATCTATTAAAAAAATGTTGGCTCTATTCTGAAGAGGCACGCTACAGCATTTATTACAGTCTGACTTATTCTAGGGTTACCTGTACCTCTGCCTCCATTAGACTGGGGTTATTTGGGCCCTTGGACTTAGTCACCAAATGACAGCATAAGGACCTAACAGAAGATGTGCTATCTAAAAGTGTTAACCTGACTGGAGAAGCTTCCAGAGGCTCCCACACCATATCTAAGGGGAGGAAGCCTGCCTTTGGAACTCTACAGTAAACTTGTGACTTCTCCTGGAGTCATGTCCCTCAGTGAACAGAAGGCACACGATGCCTCCCTCAGGATTTGAGAAGCTGGAGCACATCTTGCCTTTTCTCGTTCTGTCCAGGAAAGGCGCAAACAACAGGAGCTGCTCTGGGCGACACCTCCCTGTTGGATTCCATTACTAAAACTAGAGACGCCATGCTCACGGGTTCTCTGGGAATACAGGAAGCTGAAGACCTCTCCTAGGAAACGCGTCAACACGTAAGGAGTACTCCATTCAATGCAAGTTTCTAACAGTCACAGAATTCTTGTAAAACCAGAATATGTCAAAAGAAACAAAGCTATGGCGAGTCCATGAACCTGGGCTATAAACAGTAACTAATTAGTTTACGAGATTTCTATAAACAGTGTCTAATTCTAAAATCACATCACTTCAAGAAATTTATTATAAGATCAAAAGGTCATACTATATTATATAAAATATTTTTAGATATTCTTATATATTTTATAAAATGCAATATATAATTATATAAACACATTGTATAAAATATGTTACAGATCACAACAGCTAAGGTGTGTAACACCACGTGACTGTGAACACCACCCCTACTGTTATGTGTTGATTAAGGACTCTGTGTGTGGCAGGCACTGAAGCAGGTGCATTAGCTAATAACTTGTTGGTGTGTGAGCTCTGACCATTAAGTTCACGAACTCGTCCTAGAAAAAGTGCTACATACCTCATTGCTGAATATCACTACAGTCACCTTCGAAGTACTCCCCCCTTCGGAAGCTGCGTCTACGTCAGCGCC